AACTTAGACATATGTTTTGCTATATATTCTACTAATTTTCTATTTTTTCACTTCATCAGTCTCTGCATATTTTAGTTACTTCCTTTAAGTTTCCACGGCTATCTATAATGATAATTTCTGGCTAATTTTTAAGGGAAATAGTCATTACTATAAATTTATCTTTGAATAGAGTTCTGGTTGGAACTGGCACATTTTAATATGTTGTGTCCTCATTGCTATCATTTCTCAAGTTCCCTGTTGTTAATTTTTTCTTATTTTCTTTTTGATTCAATAACTTCTTGGAAGATTGCTAAAAATTTATAAATACTGGGGGAAGGCCAGACAAAGCACATATATATTCTTAAATAAAAGATAGTCTTCTTTATCTGGAAAGGTTCTTTTATATCAGGACAGGTAACATTAAGAAGGAAGAATGTGGCAACATTGAGAGAAGACAAAGATACCTACCTCATCAACAAAATAGGCACCATCCACCCTCAAAATAGATGGAATGAGAAATGTCACAATTGGATTGCATTCACTTGTTATCGCAGCATTGTTTGAAACAGCAAAAATAGCTGGGGGAAAATCTTGAATGTCTATCAATACCAGAACTGTTGAATACATTGTGTTTATGTATCACTTGAAATAGTATACAATTATAAAGAAGATGTTTTAGAAATATATATAGCTGTGTCGTTGCACACAAATGTAAAGAGTATGATCCCACTTATGTTAAAAAGTGAGAAGGACTTCCAAATTCCGATGTTTACGTTTATATTTATATATTGTTGTAGTATCATACAAAATGGTTTGGAAGAACATATACCAGGGATTTAACACTGGTGAAGTGTGACTGAAGATGGAACGTGAGAACACTGGGATGTCCTGAGAGGTGGCAAGGAGAAAAAGGAAATGAGATAGAGAAAGGTCTATTTCATTCATCATAGATCTTTTCATTGTTAAAAAGATCGCAGTAAACCATATTAATTTTTGGTAATTTTGAAAGATAGTCTTAACTAATATTAATGCATGAAATTTAAAAATAAGTGATTAGAATGCTATTTTTTATTCTCACAAGATTGAATATCAGGATGACCTCTTTAAGACAGAGAAATCTAAAGTATATGGAAAATAATACATGTGAGGTGGAGAGACTGGAGTCCGGAAGCCTACCTCTTCCTTTGAGGGAAATATAAGAGGCTCATCACTTTGTTGATAGCGTTTATTTAGGGAGTTATTTACTAATCCTGGTATATTTTTTCTTGTAGTGCAAATGAGAATGATGCCTTTTTACCTCATGCTTGTTTTTTAGATAGCTCCTTATTCCTTATTTGCAACTGAATACTGGATTTTTTAAGTCTGGAAGTAATGTCACATTTCCTGATATGGGAGCTGGTTGGATGAATGAGTGCCTGAGAATGTATTGTTTCATATAACTTAAAAGTATAACGGTATTGTCTAGGGATACTATATAATTTAAGTCTAGGAATGCTAAGCCATTTAAGATGTCTTCAACTGTAAGTAACAGAAAACCCAGATTCAAATTGCTTTAACTATAAAGAAACTTGTTACCTCATAACTTGGAGTCAGAAGTAGGACTCCAGGGATGGTATGATCAACAGCAAAACGATAAGATCAAAGCGCACAGAGTATTCCTATTCTCTCTTCTTCCAACTTCATTACATAAGTTTTGCCCTCAGGATGATTACAGATATTCCAAAGGTCATATAAAGATATAGCATCATCCTAAAAAAGAAAAGGGAACATTATTTCCTGTTTCTTTTCTTAAGAGTAAAGAAATTTTTTTCAGAAGTCTTCCAGCAGATATACTATGATGCTTAATTGACTAGGATTAGATCACATGCCCAATGCCAAATCAATCACTTACAGGAAGAATGGCATCACCATAACTAGCTTAGACTAATCTTCTAAAGTGAGATGAATATTCAAAAGTCAGTCAGTGGCCATAACCACCTACATGTACAGAATGTGTCACTAGGACAGTCTCCCTCTTTTTGCATAGGCTGGCTCCATTCTGTTCTTTGGGGTACCTTCATTCTCAATCTATTGATGATAGTAAAGTGACTAGAGCAGCTTAATCCTTATATCCTTTCGGGTTCACTCTCTTCCAATGGAAACTGCCACATGCCTAGGAGTTTGTGTCTCATTGGCTTTGACTAGGTTGGATGCTTATTCCTAAACTAATCATTGCAACAGTAATTCCATACCCTGAAAAGTCAGACTTGTTGTTCCCAAGAGGAAAATTGTGGCACTATTACCAGAAGAACGGTGATAAGATGCTAGGCTGCAGTATCAATTGATGTCTATTACAATTAAATATATTTTTGCAGCTCAGCATCTATATAAACCTTTCCTGCTATATATACATGTCCAAATATTTCTCTAATTTTTACTTTGATCAGCTACTGATAGAGTATGAATTGCTGTCTATTTGGAAAATATCTTTGCAAGAATAACTGCTACTTTAACTTTTTAGACAACAGATTAGTTAATGATTGTTTTTGAACTTTAAATAAATTGAAGAGAATAATGTGTGCCCCTTTGTTCTCTGGCTTCTTTTTTCAACATATTTGAGAGATTCATTCATGTTTTTCCATGTAGTTGTAGCTTGAATATTCTCACTACTGCATGATATTCCAATGTATGAATATACCCCAACATATGGGTTGATGGAAATGTAGGTGTTTTTTAGTTTGGAGTCATTACAAATAGTTAAACACATTTTTTTCTTTTTCAAACCACTATTGAGGTATGATTTACAGTCACAAAGCTGTGCCTATTTAATGTATACATCCTAAGGATGAACACATATATTTCATAATAAAAAAATAGGGTTTGAGATTTTAGTAATAGGAGACTAAACAGTTCAAAACAACTTTCCCTAAAATCTGAACAAATTGAGTAAATCTGAACAAATATAGTAAAAAAGAAAATCCGCTCTCAATGGCATCTAAAAGCTGAGAAATACGAAATAATTATCTAGCTGAGATAGAAGGAGAACAGATCCAAGAGGCAAACAGGGCATTTGGTGGATGTTTTTCTACTGGGAAAGTTTACCCATTCTAGAGAGAACCACTGAAAGACTTAGATGCTCAACAGAACTTGTGACTGCTTGTTAAATCTATGAATACAGAATCTGGAGTCCAGAACCTTGGTAACTCCCTAACCCCTTACTTTTCATTGAAATTCCAGGGTTGAAATCCTAGGAGTAAGAGTTAACCATAACTTTAAAAAAGCCCTCGCTGAAACTACAACATATATGCAAATTGCTTCCCATAAAAATTGTATAAACTTTCACTTGCATCAGCACTAGATATGAACCCCTTTTTTCATGATCAATGACATTAAGTAACATTTTAATGTTCTTTCATACTTTGTTGAATCAAGATTATTATTTCTATTTTTCCTTGTAGACGTTATTTTACTAACTGTAGTTGGTCTGTTAACATCCGACTCATCCCCTCATTCAAATACCATAAGTATCTGAATAAGAAAGATACCATTAAGCAATGTTTTGTTTACATAGTTTTTGGTTGGTTCATTTGCTTTCTGGTCAATTTTATTTGGCTGCTTTTTACCTTTTAATAAATCAAATATTGATATTGGTACAACATTAGTATACAACCTTTCTCAAAATATTTAAAGAATCATTTTAACATTCCTTAAAGAATACCCAGTGTTTCTCCACTGATTTATAAAACTATAACTTTTATCTAATTATTTCTTAGGAAGTTATTTTTTGCAAAGCTTTCTATTCCGATACATAGATCTGATTACTCATTATTGTAGAAACATTATGTCAAATGTCCAGTACTGGGAGAAAAGCCAAATTATAAATCACTTTAAAATTGAGTTTTATGGACCAAGCACAAGATATGTAACAGGTGCTCAACAAATATTTGTTGAATGAAAAAATCGATTAGAAAGCATCTAATTTCCTGGAAAAATTAATAGACATGAAATTACAGATAAAAAACAATCTCAGTTTTGCAAAAGTTTAGGAAAAAGGGGGGGAAAAAACCTATGAGCATTAATATTTTGCTGTGAGGCCCTCAAAAATGGGAGATACGACTGCAGTTGATGATTTTCCTCTTAATATTAATTTCCCAAAATTTAGATAGTGTTCACATTGTACATGCACTTATCTTGCAATAAAGAAAAGGAAAAAAATCCCTTAAAAACTAAAACAAAAAAGTCAGGAAAGATCAGACAGGAAAAATTAGGTAGAGACTGAGTCAAAACGGCAGACTTACCATAGTGAATTTCTCTGTTTCAACTCCAAATCCTTTCAAAAAGAGGAAAGACATATTTAGGTGTAAAGAATAAATCCATAAGGGCAAGGGACTGGGCGCGGGGCGGGGTGGGGGAGCGGTGTGGGCGCGGGGCGGCGGCAAGGCGAATTCCAAGAAGATGGAAAGCAGATAGGGCAGGGGGACTAAGAAGGTGGGGGTGGGAATCAAGGGGCCCTGAAACGGGTGATGAAGGCGCCACAGGGTTCCGAGGACTACTGTGGCACCAACTACTCTGAATTTGGGAAGAGGCGGAGTCAGAGCCTATAGCTTCTCCAGGGCTCCAGGCTGTGTGGTGGGCGTGGGAGCCTGGTGGAGAGGAGGGCGCGGTGTTTGGCAGGAAGAGGAGGCCTCTCTCTGGGCAGGAAGCTGCGCTACGGAAAGAGGGAGGAGACTGCGGCGGCGACAGCAGGGACTGGTGGAATCCCGATGTGGCTGAGGGGCCACCACCGCCAGCAGGGAGGCGGAGGGCTAGCAAGCCAAGCGGTGGCAACGCCGCTGCAGTCCTCTTTGCCTGCTTTGCCGCCCTCCTAGACACGCTCATCTACGGATCCTACCCTCCCAGCTCTTGCAAGCATTCACTCGGCCGGTCGCCTGCTGACCCTCCTTCGCCACAGGCTCATAGCGGAGGCAGCAGCGAGGTGTCCGATTTGGGCACGTGAGGCCCGCGATCCGCGGCGGTGGACGCCAGGCAGGGCAAGGCCATTAGTGGGCGCCAGAATGGAGAGGGGGATGGGAAGGAATCCAGCAGGAGACCTGGGGTGGAGGTGGGCGCCAGGCAAAAGTCGGGTGGGGGAGTGCGGTGAGCTACATGAAAAGGGGGTAAGAACAGGAGCCAGACAAGGATTTGAAGGTGAGCTCCAGGAAGCAAGGGCGGTGGGTATCAGGGAAGTGGTTAGGGTAGGCAGGGTTTGTTGTGGACAGCAGCTGGGATACTCAGGGAAGGAGGTCAGTGGGTGCCGGTCAAGGCCGCTTTGCAGGGGATTGGGAGTGGACTCCAGTGGCAGCAAGGGGTTCAGGGAGGGCTGTGGGCTCTGAGCTAGGAGGACGTGGCCCAGCCACTTCTGCAGAGTTCCTAACCACAGACAGCTCTACTGCACCACTCCAGCCTTTCCCCACAGCCCAAAGGAACTTAGGAGGGAGAGCACTGCAGGCATGCAGCCAGATTTCCAGCATTGCTTCCAGGCTCCTAGGGGAACCTTAGGCACTAGCGCAGAGTATATCCAGACATGGCTATAGGGAAAAGTTTGCCTCGTGGCACACTGGATATGTCTCTCTATCCTCTCTCCTCCCCCAGCAGGCATGAAGACCCCCAACGCACAGGAAGCCGAAGGGCAACAAACCAGGGCAGCTGCAGGACGGGCCACTGGGTCTGCAAACATGACAAAGAAAAAAGTCTCCCAAAAGAAGCAGAGAGGCAGACCTTCATCCCAGCCCCGCAGGAACATCGTGGGATGCAGAATTTCTCATGGATGGAAAGAAGGAGATGAGCCCATCACCCAGTGGAAAGGAACCGTTCTGGATCAGGTGCCTATAAATCCCTCTCTTTATCTGGTGAAATATGATGGAATTGAC